CGGTCGACCGGTCGGTGCTGACAGTAGCTTGAATGTTTGTCTCCCGTAACGTGTGTTTTTGAGTGTTTTATTTTGGGTATCGATCGATTCAGTATAGTTCCAGCTTAGTATTTTTGTGGCGTGTTTGTGAGGGTGTTGTCACCCCCTCATATACTGGAAGCAACAAGCCGACGTTAATTAAATCAGTTAAGTCAGTTTGTGCTCACTGCTGCTAAGCATGGATCCTACGTGGACACTATGGACTTTTATGCTCTTATTTTTCGTTTTGGATTATCTGCTTACTGCATCTTATGGATATACCCCTCCGGACACTCGACGGATTACTTATTCCAGGGATTTTTTACTGCAGTTGCAACTTCACTTCCACCAAGGCATCGACAAGTTGCCTGAGGAACTACAACGTAAACTCCCAACCGACGGGACTGACATTCTGCATAACAACAGAAGGAAGGTAACAAGACGGGGGAGGAAGAAGAAGGGTGGAATTAAAGCAAAACTGAGGCGAGGAGGAAATAAGTACCGTGCGCTTCCCTCAGTGATTCTTGCTAATGTGCGCTCGTTGCGTAACAAGATTGATGAATTGCAAGCTAACGTTTATCACATGTATGAATACCGGACTGCCTCCATTCTTGCTTTCACTGAAACGTGGCTAACTGGAAGTGACAACAGTGACAGTATGTACATAGATGGCTTCGGGTCGCCTGTGAGGCTGGACCGTGATAATAAACTGACTGGTAAGCACCATGGTGGTGGCGTCTGCCTTTACATTAATCCACGTTGGTGCAAAACAGTTGTTGTCAGAGAAGAACTGTGTAATCCTGACATTGAACTCTTGGCTGTCTCCCTACGTCCCTTTTATCTTCCTAGGGAATTTCCACAACTGTTTTTTATTTTGGTCTACATTCACCCCAGGGCAAATGCACCCATTGCTATAGATTACATCAAAAATACGCTCGACAGACTAGAGCTGATATCTCCGGATGCCCTAAGTTTATCATGGGTGATTTTAATAACTGTTTTTAGATAAATCAATTAAAGGATTCTCTCAGTATGTCAACTGCGCTACCCGTTCAGGGAGAACACTGGACAAATGCTATGGGTCAGTTCCGGATGCCTACAGAGCCGTCCCTCTCCCCCCCTTGGGCTCTGCTGACCACAGCAGTATACTGCTTGCCCCCGCCTACACACCTGTGGTTAGGAGAGTTGAGAAAGTCACCAAGGATATTAAACAGTGGACACCAGACGGTATTGACAGGCTTCAAGGGTGCTTTGAAACAACGGACTGGAATATTCTTACATCCTGTTCCGCTAACATCAGTGAGCAAGTGGATACAGTTTCAGCATACATCACGTTCTGTGTGGATAGTATAATCCCCTCTAAGAAGGTTACCATTTTTCCTAATAACAAACCCTGGGTGACTAAAGATC